TCGAAATATCTTGTCATGTTAACTAGTTGGAAATATTGGCTTTCGAAGACATGCACTTAAGAAGATGGTGGAACATGAAGTTAGATAAGTTTGAAAGAAATGGATTCCAGAACCCACTTCAGTCTGGCTTCAGAATCTTTTTTGGCACCAAAATACCTTTGATCATCCTGATCTGAGGAAACGAAAAAAGGAAATAGGTGCTATTAGTTTTCCTTAGTATCTTGACAGCCTTTACTATCATCAAACACAGTGCCCTTCTGCAACTGCAGCACAAGTAGGGTACTAGAGATGTGGTATTGCAGAGATGCTTCTTCTACCTCCAGGGCACACCCTAGAAAGAAATGATGGGGAATTTTTTTGACCCTTTGGCTGATATGGATTCTACAAGATCCAACTTGTTCTTACATTGTTCACCATGCTATTTAATATCTATGGAACAGCTGGTGTGATCATCAGAAAGTGGAGGTAAGACACAATCTGTATGATAATGGCATTCCACATACATGCTCTGTTTGTCATCAGAATCAGATGAAGCCATGAAAGTACATGATCCATGCCTGAAGGCAATAATGGGTTTGACAAGGACCTGTAACCTGGAGCTGAATCCCAACAAGGCAAGTATTTACTATGATCACTTACAGATTACTGAAAAGACATCCATCATTCAAAAGGAAGATGCATGAGGACATGGACTGGCATAAAATTGCATCTGCTAATTTATAGGTACAGATTTAAATTAGAAACTATTCTAATTTAAGCAGAATTAGAATATATCTCACTTGAGTGGAAAAGACAGCGACCACAGGGTTTATGTGCTAATAACTGGAAATGGGCAACTTCATGGTCTTCAGTCTTCCTCCTTGTGGTTGGTTACCATTCAAGCAGACTTGAACTGGTCAACCTTTTACACGGAGGATAACGATGGGTTGTCCTCTGCTAGCCGTACACTTGGGGTTCTGTTTTCTCTAAAACAGGGCACATGGCCATTCTAGACCTGCTCTGGATTATTGTTTCCTGGATTAGAAAATCACGAGAACAGTCTCCTCTGGACTGGACTACACTCCCTCTAAAGATGCAGATATTGGGAGATCACTTAATTAATGGAGGCCTAAGTAGTGGCCATGGTATAGAGTGCCTATCTTCAATTCAGGAAACTGCTGGTTCTGGACAAAAGTCGACAATGCTGTGATATCCCAGTTAGATGTTGGTAATGCATGCAAGGTGGGCCTGAACCTTCTTAAGTAGCTACAAAAATTCTAGTTTGTGCAAAAAGTAATCACAAGTATGTTCACTAGCTGTGTGGTACAAGGCTATACAACAATGGCTCCGGCTGCTTATCTATCAACTACACCCAATTCAAGAAGCTGATTTTGACATATGAAAAGTTCTGAACAGCTTAGGACCTGGCTACCTAGAAGAACGCCTCTCCTCTCATCCAGTTCATGACTTTGGATCTGACACGGGGGTCTCATTAAGCCAGCATCAAACAAAAGTCCAATTTCCAGAAGCTAGGAGAATTCCAAGAGCTGCAGTGCAAAAATGTATTACATCTCATGGGGGGGGGGGACACCATTTGGCATAAATGACATGTGAGCATGTAGACGGAGCACACACTTGCTTTTAAACTTGCTGTTCTGCTTTGTGTCCTACTAAACATTTTCTAGGGATGCACTGAAAAGCCACCTTCAGGCTGATGACAAGCTTGCCGGCGGGG